AGATTTCTGTGAATACAGTATGTGTATGTAGATAAATTTACCTAAATCTCATCTATCTGTTTGTGTTCCAGACAGAAATTGTCTGTCTACATCCCTAGGCTGTGTTACCTTGAAGAAATTAAAATTAATTACATAACTTCCTATTTAGCTTTAAAATTTCCTGGGCACGCTTATAAATTTTTATTTTAAGGCAATAGATATCTTTCCTCTATTTGGTAGTCCATTATATGCAAGATTTTGGCGGATAAGACTAGCTAATTTGTCAGAGTGGCACCAAATCATTATACTCATCTGAATTTTGAGAGACAAGCTGTTAAACTCTGTACAAAGATCTGCTGCGTCAAGATTCCCCAACCATCATGCATCACAGCATTCTCCACCTTGCTGTTCTTTTAGAAGCCAAGCCATTGCACAGACCGGTATGCTCACTGATTGCACACAAATTGGTGTAGTGTATTGGGTGCAGGTACTCAGGTGTTGGCAGAGGGGGAGCTGCAGAAGTGACCTCTGTGAGGAAACACTGGGGCTGCTCCATTCCAGACACAGCTGGTTTCAGCAGACAACAGACCCACTGCAGTACACCAGCTCAGCCCAGCAGGCAAGATGGTGGCACCATGGGGAAAAAAGAAAATTAAGAAAGGGAAAACACTGCAGGGCAGTGAGGAGCTCACTGCTGGAGAAGTGGACAGCTAAAAGGAGTTGGGAATGAAGGACTGAAGTTGAGTCAGGGAAAAGGTGGGGGCAAAAGTGTTGTTTTAAACTTTTGTCTTTGATTCTCACTACCCAAATCTATTTTAATTAGCAATAAATTAAATTAATTTTCCTCCAATCAAGTCTGTTTTGCCTGTGACAGCAACTGGTAAGTGAAGTCCCTCTTTTTATCTCAACCCACAAGCTTTTTCGTCTTATTTTCTTCCCCTGTCCTTTGACATATGAGAGAGTGGGTGGGTATACATCTGATCGTTAACCAGGGTTAACCCTTCCTGATCAGTGGAACAGATGCATACACTTAAACCAGTGATTTTAGTCTCCCTTCATTCTGAGAGGAGACAATGAGGCACTTAGAGGGTACTGATATGTGTTTCACCTTGATGTAACATTGGTTAGATAGATTGCTTCCTGAAAGTGTATTTTTTGTATTCATTGACTCTAAAAGGAAGCAGAGGGTGAATAACTTTGATTTTAGTTGCAGACTCTTCTATATAAAGTGTGGAGTCTTGTTGCCCCATGAAGTATGGAGCCATGAGTAGCTCCCATATTCTACCTCTGTAACAAAGTCACATTTCTTCATTTGCAACAAGGCCATGTGGCCACGAGTGCTGTTGGGCACATAAATAAGCAAGAGCAGCCAAAGCTGACACCTCTAGGCTGTCATTGGTTTCACTTGAATATCTAATCCTGGACTTCAGTACCATATGTCAGAGCCCTGGGCCCTATGCTGTGGGCTCAGCTGCTTGTGATCAAGCAGGCTCTGATATGGTGCTGCTGTGTAACTATGGATCAGACTGTGGTGAAGAAAGCTTGTGTGGGAAAAAATTGTGAGAAGTAAGGATTTTATTCCTCTTAGCTGCATTCATTCCAGTTCAGGCACTATCCTTGCCTGTGCTATGTAGCAAATATGCCTGTGCCTGTCTATGTATTGTGTTGGTCGTGGTCCTGTTCTTGACCCACTAACCTTACTTCCTGGCTTGATCCTCAGACCTGCCTCATTGCTGTGGACTTTTCCGGCCATCCAGCCCTTTCGGCTGATCGAAGTTACTGTCACCAGACTTGCTCAGTGACTCTTGCCCAGTATCTGTGGGACTGCACTGCTTGGTGAGGGCACTGTCCTTCCTACCTTAGGTCACCCTCGGCTTATCTACCCTTACAGAGCAGCCCACACTTGTTGCTCCCTGACCCTGGGATGTGGATCTTCAGAAAGTACAGTTACTCTCTTACAAAGTGTTTTGATGTATACACTGGGGTCTGTGTCTTTTGGAATGCACTGTATATATAAAATCACTATGTCTGTACTTATAAACAGCAGTTAGGGACAAATCCCCGGCTCAGAAGTCTGATAGCACATCAGGCTGGAATCTGTACTGCTTCATGGCAGCTCCCTCTACAGCAGATTTAATTTTATTTTTTTTTCCCTTTTTGGACAAAGCTAGTTAAAACAGAACAGAGTCAGGTAATAAACTAGCAGTTAAGTGATGGAAATAATCAAGAATACAAAGATTGCTCTCCCTAGTCCTCTTATATTTAGCATATGTATATATAGGCATATATTTCCCTGAAACAAGGCATACTGAGCCCCAAACACATGAAGGTTCCTAATACTTCCTACCTGTTTTCAAAACCATTCAGGGAGGAGATCTATACTTAAATACAGCTGTGTGGATTATGCTCTGGAGGCAAGTGGGTCCAAAGGAGAGCCACGAAGATGATCAGAGGGCTGGAGCACCTCTCCTACGAGGACAGGCTGAGAGAGTTCGGCTTGTTCAGCCTGGAGAAGAGAAGGATCAAGGGAGACCTTATAGCAGCTTTCCAGTATCTGAAGAGGGCCTGCAGAAAAGCTGGAGAGGGACTTTTTACAAGGACAGGTAGTGATAGGATAAGGGGTAATGGCTTTGAACCATATGAACTAGGATAATTTTACTCCATAAAAATAAAAGGTCCATAAGAATTCTAGTGACCATGGACAATTTGGAGATGTAACAAGTATCTTACTCATTTATAATATTATTTTAAAATCTAAGAGAATCACGCATCAATCTTAAACAAAAAAAATAGTTACAAAATAAGTTAATAACAAAATTATAGGTTATAATTTCCTCTTACTGGTTCTTCCTTTTTTCAGGCATCCTTAGAGTAAGCACAGGTATTTTTCAAAGCATATATATACACAGCACACACAAATAGTATACAGCATGCACAGCAATTACTTATTGACTAATACTCATTGCAGATAGGTAGGACTAATATTGTATTAGGCTAAGTCTGAATACTGTTAGAGCTACCAGTGTAGGCAATGCCCAGGTCTTTATTGATTGGGGAGGTCACTAAACTGGGGATGCATTGGTTGAATTCCTGACTTTTCACCTTCTGCTTTTTTAATTAAGGTTTTATACTATTTGCATCAGTATTTTTCTCCTGCGTCTATAAGCTGATACATATTACTGTCTCAACAAATCCATTTTTATTTGTTGTCACTATTATTTTACATGGCCTTATATTTGCTCAGTGCTCAAATTTTTTTTTAATTTTTTTTTTTCAGTAAGGCTGTGGAATTTCTGAGCTGTTGGTTACAATATAGCCAAGAAATTTTTGACATTACCATTGCTTGACTGAAAAAGCCCATTCCTCCAAGTTGTAACTTTTTATAACAGTGTATCAGCTGTAATAAAACTTTTAACTATTCTTGAGGTGAAAATTCTGCTCAAAATTGGAGAAAAATAAATTACTCCTGCAGCAAACAATATACTGGCACAGGGACCACATCTTGAAAATTACCAAAAGAGATTAAAATTGTATTTTTTCTAATTCAAAGCCAGGACACATACTTAGGTCCTGCATATTACATTCGAGCAAGACAGTCACAGCATTTCTAGTTATTTTTTTGATAATTATGCATCCTCCTGACATTTTTATTTTCTTCCTGCCTCCAAAAATGAAAGCAAATAGGACAGAGAGAGTAAAAGTCCTGAGGTTTTCTCTGTAATTAGTAAGGGATGAGAAGCTATTCTATATACGGAGCACTTAAATTAGATGCCTGCTCTGAGTAGCTCTTCGGAGGAATCTATCTTTCTGCATTGCTTATATGAGAATCAATGCAGACTACCCTTCTAATTTAGGTACATATATTTGGGATTCATCTGCCCTACTTTAGGTATCTGAAAGGCATACAAGTCTTAATTAGTCACTGTGGTCTCACTTTGTAATAACCTCCAAGGACAATTTACTGCATAGGAAAGGGCAGACGAATAGGTCTCTAGAGATGCCAGTATCTTTTTGCAAGCTACAGAAGGAGCTTTGGGTTATCAAACCATTGTGACCTTAATTCTGTGGCTCATGTAATGGCATCTGTCCCACTGAGGATCTCTAGGGCATCTGGGACATCTATGTAGAGCTAATAAAGATCATACAGGAAACCCATTCTCTTTCAGACCCTCAAACAGACACCAGGCAGAATAATAACCTGCTAAGCCTGAAATGGCACTAAGAACGTGTCTCAAGTCCAGAATCTTGCCACAAAAATTGAATGCTATTCCAGATTGAGACAATTTAATTTAACTTTTCAATGTGCAAGTGTCTGTTTTCCACTGAGGAAGTGATGGTTCATATGGCATCTCCATAAGAAAGGCGTCAGCATCCAAGGCTAACTATAGGATTTATTGCATAAAGGATAGGAATTATAGAAAAGTTGATAGCAATCTTCTGTCCCTCCTGATGTGGGGAAGCCCAGTAGTTGCAGCACTGGACAAGCCCATCTTCACTGATCACAGCATGCTGCATGTTGTGGTTTGGGCCAGAACAGCCACTGAAATGAACGACTGACACTCTCTGACCTCACCTCCTTCAGGGAAAAGAGAACATCCCCCAGAAGGGAAAGGAGGAAGAAAAAGAAAGACTTCTGAGTTTAAAAAAAAATCAACTACTTTACTAAAATATTAATAATGAAATAATACAAAGAAAATAATTAAATATATACAATATATACAAAACCATCTCAAGCTCCCAGGATGACAATCACGTCTCTGGCAGGCACTAGGAAAGTCCCAGACTGGACTCGGCAACAGATGGGAACTGGATTCCAGATCTGGATTCAGGAATATAAGGATCGGGATCAAAGGGAGACGAACAGAGAGAGTCCTCCTTGGATGCCGCAATTGAAGAAAGAGGGCTGACAACTTGGTCCCTCAGCTTTTATAGTGAGCATGAGGCAGATGGGATGGAATACCCTATTGGTCAGTTTTGGATCACCTGTCCTGTCAGTTCCTCCCCACAGAAGTGACCCCTCTATGCTCTTCCGCTTCCAACCCTCCAATGGGGCATATAGCAAAATTAGCTGACCTTGGTTGTTATAGCAATAAGTATAAGCTAGAGCCTCTGTCGTGCCATTCCTCGGCATAAATTATACACAATCAGGTCTTATCACTCTGGAAGCGGACTGTGTCTAAAAAATATGCTGTTAATTTCAGAGAGTTCAGTTATTTAGAAGAGGCTTAACTGAAAAGTAAAATTACTGAACAGAAAATTGGTTCTGTTTTACCTCAAACCAGGACATGCAAAGAGTTACTGGCTGCGGTGAGGTTCACCAGCACAAAATTCTTGCTAGCAATAGAGATTCTTCAACCACTAATAGCATTATCTCTGCAATATGGACTTTGGTCTGAAGAATCTCTTGGACAACACACTTTAATATCCTAATCTCATTAATAAAATTACAGTTCCTGAAGAGGTGTATGTAATATTTCCAGTAGAAAAGACAATGCAATATACACATACTTATGATTATATGTACATTGAATACATGCACATCAACGATACATTAATTATATGCACTTTGATTAATTTTACTATTATATACCTTGATCAAAGAGCTGTTGCATGGTACCTAGGATACATTTTTATACTCCTGAATGGTCATGGGTATTGTCTACACACAAATTATGTGTACAGCTTTCCATTACAAGCACCAGACTTCTTGGGCTTGATTCATTTGCCTGAAGAGATACGGCAAGTGCCATTCGAGTCCTAAACTATCTTTTCTAGCCTCCAGCTCCATCTTCATGGAGGCATGTATCTTCTATATGTTTTCTCAGATAATCTAAGGAACCTCAAATAGCACTAGAAGGAATTTTTAGTCAGCAGATCACACTCACAGTCTGTGCAGCCTAGAAGGCAATCCATCACACCAACCACTGTGGTTTAGGTTCACTTGTCTTAACTATAGAGAAAAAGAGCCATTGTTCCTGCCCTAGACTATCTAATTGGCTATCTAGTTGACTATCTAATTGACTATCTAATATACCAGTATATTGCTATACAGGACCTATAAGTACATGTGACATTCTGGAGCAGCTGAAAACTTAAAAGGTTAACTAGGATTTCTCAAACACTGTGAGACCCCTTTTTTAGGCAAATTAATAAAACTTTATATGCCTACTTTAGAATAACAGAATTGCTCCTTAGCCTCCACTAACTGATGTTCATTTACTGTATTGGGAGCTTAGACACCCAAATCACATGAACCTACCTGTATTGGGACACGATCTTAAGTGTCTGAAATGGGAAGAGAAAGATTGCTTTCTCCTTAAAATCAAGTGTATCAAGTCTGGCTGAGCTGAAGTTAATATTCCATAGAAGCCCTCATAGTGTTGTGCTTTGTATTGGTTACCAGAAAGATGTTATCACACCGGTTTTGGCTGTTACTGAGGAGTGATTGCACAGCACCAAGCTGTCTCTCCAACATTCCCCCTGCCTCATCCAGTAGGCTGGGTGTGGGCAAGATCTTGGGAGAGAACACAGCCAGGACAGCTGACCCAAACTAACAAAAGGGGTATTTCGTACCATATGATGTCTGCTTAGCAAAAATTGCTACGAGGAAGGGAGGAGGGGGGAAGCATTTGTTTCCAGAGCAACTTCATGTTTCAATACAACATTTATATATTTTGTTCATTTTAAATCATACCAGATTGCTAAAGACCTTAAACTTTATTAAAAGTATCTGTCTGCTTGTTTGATTTATTTTTTCCCAAAGCAGTGCTCAGACAAGATTGATTGACAAAACTGCAAAATATACTTACTGCAGTTATCTGGGTTCAGCAACAGAAGCACAAATTAAAATATCAAGAGCATTAGCTTTGTCTACATAGCCCAAGATAGAAACTTATCTTGGGCTATGTGGCTGAAAAACTGTGGCCAGAAATATAAGTCAGAGGACTACAGAGAATGAGAAAGAAGGCAAAAGACAGCTTTAACTCTGTATGACAAAGTAATGTAACTGGAAGAAGGAGGTTGTTTTTTCCTTCCTACATTTTGATTTTACTAATTATTTTTTGAAAGCAATAGCAATGTAATGAAAAATTCTTAAACACTCCTAGAAGCAAAGGCTGGTAGGTAGCCTCCTGTTTTTCAGGATAGAATAATATCTACGTCACTACAATGCAGCATTATTTTCCTTCTGACCCATTCTCCTCATAGAAGGGCATGACAATTTTCTCTCTTTCAGTATACTGGACATTTGCAATAGCACAAACAAGATTTTTTTCACTAAAATTATGCTACAGAATATTAGTTGAGGCTGATTACATTATATGAGGAAAAAAAACCACCATAATTCACCCTTGAAAAGTGATTTTAATTATATATAGTGGATAGAGCCTTTATTTACAAATAAAGGTAATTACCACTTAATTTCATATGTAAACATGTAGTAAAAGCCAGCTCTTAGAACCCATCTAAATTTTTACTGTGTGATATGTATGTCTGTTAATAAAAGATTTTAACAGTGCCTTTCTAATTTGCATCTTAGTAAATGAACTAGGTTTAGGCAGTTTCATATCTAAAATCATATGTTTTGAGATGTATGCATTATAGAAAAAAATCTGCCAGATATAAATAAAAAACAGACATTAGAAGAATAAATTTTGCAGTTATTCAGAGCTGTCTACTTACCCCTAAAACACCTCATACATGTACACAGATCATGATACACACAATACAGCATTTTTATATCTATAGAGATGCACACACACATATTACCTATACAGATATTATGGTTCATCGAATTTCAGCACTGCATCTTCGCTAGCAAACATCCACATTCTAGATACTACGGACCTAGATAAGAAAAACTGTGTGCTGAAACTGTCAAGTATTCAGCTGGTCATTGTTTTTTTGCCTTATAAAACATACTCAGTAATTAAGTTGTAGCTACTTAACATCTTTACCACCACTTTTTTCTTAAGACAGTTGCAACTACCTTTTCAATGTGAGTATACATTATGTTTTTATTTATTTAAATTTTTAACTGTTAGTGTACCGGTATTTAATTTTTTGGGGCAGTTTAAAATCGTCTCTCTTTTTCTTTCTGAAAAGATAAGCATACTGGATGTGATAGGCATATCGACCCTTAGGCAGCTATCGCCCATTTTTAAAAAAACAAGCCACTTAATTATTCATCTGAGTGTCAAATTTTCCTTTTTCATTTTTGACTATCGAGAGCTGACAACTGCAGGACCATGATACTAAACCGATTTCATCTTTCCAACATACATGACAGGGTCACTTGTTTCATTGCACTCATCTGATGTGATGTCTCATGGAACTCGACGAATTTGATGCCTTGGTAAAGAACTAGGATGAACTTATGCTGACATCTGTCCATCTTTATGATAGACCTTAACAGAGAAACAGTTTGTTGACCAGTTACACTATATATGAAAGATAATTTCATACAGGCTGTGCACTAAGTATCATCACAAACGACAGGGGAAAGCATCCAGGATCAGAATATTTTTGACAGGAAACAATGAGAAATGAGACAATGACTTACTTGTGTTTGCAATGTTGCTTATTTTTTATTATTTGTATACTATACAGATATAGATCCCCTGTAGTCAGCACTGGTGAGGGCCCCTTACCACAAAAAAGACATTAAGGTGCTGGAGTGGGTCCAGTGAAGGGCAACAAAGCTGGTGAGGGGTCTGGAGCACAAGTCTTATGAGGAGAGGGCGAGGGAGGTGGGGTAGTTCAGTCTAGAGAAAAGGAGGCTGAGGGGAGACCTTATTGCTCTCTGCAACTACCTGAAAGGAGGTTGACAGGTGACAGGACTAGAAGAAATGGCCTCAAGTTGCGCCAGGGGAGGTTCAGGCTGGATATTAGGAAAAATTTTTTCACTGAAAGGGTTATCGACCATTGGGATGGGCTGCCCAGGGAAGTGGTTGAGGCACCATCCCTGGAGGTGTTCAAAAGACGGGTTGACATGGTGCTGGGGGACATGGTTTAGTGATGTTTTTGGTTTTGTTTTTTGTCAGAGTTGGGTTGATGGTTGGACTAGATGATCTTGAAGGTCCCTTTCAACCTAGATGATTCTATGATTCTACTTTAATTTTTTTTTGTTTTCATACTCCACCCACGGTAAACTTCAAGGTAAGCATAATCATTTTAGAATGGTTTCCTATGCTAATCACTGAAAGCAAAGACTCCATTAAAGAACACATATTCTTGGTGGCTTCAAATATAGATGGATACACAAAAAATCAAACTGGTAAGAGTTAAAAAATAAGGCTTCAGTAGCAAATTTCAGTAAAAAAACCCTCTCATTCAATATGATAACTTCTGGCATCAGATATGATGATACTGATATGGAACATTTTGAAAATGAGACATGATAGTTGAATATATACATTTTAGTGGTGAGGGAAGTGTTCAAATTGATGATGAAAACTGATTTGATAACAGTATGCTCCATTAAAGAAGAACCTGCAGAATACTTGCTTTGTTATAAGCCTTTTCTGGAAAGTTTTTATTCTGCCATTTTTAGTAAAGACATCAGTAAACTAAATATTTCACAGATATTGTGGGCATAATTAAGGAGAGAATTTTCATAAGATCTCAGTAAAGCAATCACTACAAATAGGATTGCAGTAAAGAAATAATTCAGTGTTTTGCCAAGTGATTATTATGTCAATGGCAGTAGTGATAACTGCTATTGAGCCTACGGCACATTTAAGCCACAGGAGAGCTTGACATATGTGACAGCATGCCATTTAGAAGTACTGTCCAGATGTTATCCCTGGGGAAGGTTTCATTTTGCTCTAGTGGTTTAAGGAAATGTTGAGAAATGCAGGTTACAAGCTGAGCAATCCCCAGCTGCGTTATATGCATTTGTGTCTGAGCCTATTATAGCTCTTCCATTTATGTTTGATAAAGCTGTGTTTGCTGTTGTTCTACCAAAGTCATTAAATATTCTCAGCATTGTGCAGTGATATCACTAATTGAGAAAAATGCCATTAAATGTATTTT